TCCACAATTTCCTAAAACTTTGGTTAGATCGTAACTAGAGTCTGACCGGTTCTCGTCACCACACTATGGCAGGAAGCACTGGAATTCCTTGAATGGATGCAGAGAAAATTTACCAGAATTACTCTGAGAAAGGATTACAACTGCAAAAAACAGGGGTTACTCTCCTTGAAAAGAGAAGTGATAGAAGGGTTTCTTTTTAAAAGGTAGAAAGTTGTAGCAAGCTTAGACAAAGGTACTCAAAGAAATGTTCTTCCGATTAGTTTATGATGCAAGGACTAGGGAACATAGTTATGTTTCTGGAAAAGTGAGGTGGAATGGCTGTGAAGAGCTTTCCTCTTTGCACATGTGGTGGTATTAGTCAAGAATTCAGTACTGGAGCAGTGAAGTGAAGACAATTTGTGATTTCAAAAGGAAATCTTATGAACTCAAAATAATTTCACACAGTTGAAGGGATAGAATGGCAGAATGGGGCTGGCTGGTTGATCAACATAATATTATCAAGAATCCGATGAGCCAAACTGCCTCCTCTGCTGCCTTGCTAAGCGACTGGACTGGACTGCTCCCCAGAGATTTGGCATGGATTTGATAGGAAGGAAAGACCTTCAAGAAGCTATGATGACCTTATGTGATATGAAGGTTGCATTCTTGCTGTCTTGGAAACTTCTTGACCCAACACTAAGCATTTCAAATGAGTTTGGAAAGTTCTCAAAAATAATCAACGTACTTCAAGTTTAATATGTGCATCACCACAGGACAAATTTATAGTTAAATTTTCAAGCGAAAAATATTCTTAACACTCCTCCCTCCATATGCAAAGCAGAAAAGACCTAATAGACTTCCAAATGACCCAAGCTAGTGGGAAAACAACTAGGCCACTGCTGAAACTCTAACAGCCCAAAAAGCCATTAGGAAGAATGGTTCTAAGTTAAATGCATACCATTTGTTAACACAACAATAACTAATATCACAAGCAAAAATGCGCTAAAGTTACTAACAAAAATAATCTGGTGTTCTTAAAGTTTTTTTTTGCATAACAACAAGCTGAGTGAAGCACAAACCAATTGCTGTCAAATACAATTATAATGAAAAATATGCTAAATAAAACCCAAGACTCCAAATTCACAAGAGGTAAATTGAAAGGCACTGTCCTTGTAATGTCTGACCAGATCAGAGTTTTTCAATCAAATGCTTTAACAAAAAGGAACCTGCCACACCAAATCAATGTAACCTATGAGAGACTGCTCCATACCATGCAGCTGAATCTTAATACTTCTTGGCACTTAAACAATAAACGATGCCCTGTCAGCCTACATTCCACTTCAAATTCAAAATGAAATGACTGCATAGTCGAAGAAGCTTAGACAAGTGTGGGCAGCTTGGTGACTGAGTGGTTAGCACTGTGCCTCACATGTACCAGTCATCTGGGTTCAATTCCAGCCTTTAGTGATCATTTGTGTGGAGTTTGCACTTTCTCAGTGTCTGTATCGGTTTTCTGCAGGTGCTCCGGTTTCCTCCCACATTTCAAAGTACAGGTTGGGTGGATTGGCCATGCTACATTTCCCCAAAGCGTCCAGGCTAGATGGAATAGCCATAGTTAATGTCGGGCTTGGGGGATAAAGATGGATGGGAGGGCAGGGGGGTACTGTGTCTGGGTTGGGTGCTCTTCAGATTCTCAGTACAGGCCTGATGGGCCAAATGGCCTCTTTCCACACTGTAGGAATTCTATGATTCTGACTATTTAGCACAAGAGTCTCGTCTGTTATCAGAATTAACCAGACAAATCTCACCACCACACCCTCAGAATCAAGAAAGGGCCATCAATCTTGTCAAACAAACCACAAACAGTTAGGGAAGCCCATTTTAACTTCTTTGGGAAACATCTGTTCTTTGTTTCTAAATTGGACTCATTAAAAAACGTGTTTATGTAGCGAAATAAGAATTGAATTCAAAGCAGCATGCATGCAACAGCCACCTCTATGATAGCTTATTCTCCAGATCACAGCCAAATTTCAAACCATAACCATTCTTTTGTTTTATAACAGACAGAAACTTGAAACTATGACAATTATTTCAAATAGCTTGCACACCAACAAGTCAGCTATCAACTAAACAATCACATCACTAGAATACAGTAACCAAATAGAAACCTTGGCTCAGTGATGGAAATCTCATTTCTATTCAAAAGGTATGGATTCAATTCCAACTCCAAATATTTAGGCAAATAATCTGCTTTAAATAACAATGAATTGAGGCCAACCAAGGATTAGGCCATTCAGTCCTATCTGATCATGGCTGATTTACAGCTTTAATTCTACTTTTCCACATATCTGTTGATACCCTGAAACACAATGTTAAAATAGGAATATGACATTTATGCAATACCTTTAACAAAGTTCCAAGATGTTTTACAGGAAAAATATAAAATGAACAGACACCAAATCACATAACAATATTACCAAAAGCTTAGTTCAAGAGAAGTTTTAAAGTGCACTCAAGGAAGAAAACACGCAAGGTAGAGGCTGAGAGGTGGAGGCGTATTTCAGACCTTAAGGTGTAGGCAACTGAAAGCAGTCACTAATGACAGAGTGTATAAAATCAAGGATGCTCAAGGCAATCAAAATAGAGAAGCTCTGATAGTTGAGGCGCTTGTGGGGGTGGAAAAAATTAGAGATAGGGATTGCCACGGAGCGATTTGAAATCAAGGATGATAATTTTAAAATCTAGTCATGCTTGCCAGGGAGCCAGAAAGTTGGTGTAAGGCTATATGCAACGGGATTGGGATGAACGCTACAGGGGATAGAATGTGAGCACCTTTCAGGAGTGTGATGAGACTTCTGCACTTCTAAAGATGCACAAAATTCTGAATTACATTCTCATCTCAGTTCTTTATAATTGATCATTTATCCTGAATTCATGTCCCTGTATTCTAGACAGGAAAAACAACCTCAGAGTCTACACAGTATGGACCTGGAAGTAGTGGCCAGGCAGCATCAGAGGAGCAGGCAAGTTGACATTTCAGGTCAGGACCCTTCTTCGGGGTGGGGAGATTTTAAACGAGGAACAAAAACAGAAGTTGCTGGAAAAGCCCAACAGATCTGGCAGCATCTGTGAAGAAAAATTCAGAGTTAACGTTTCAGGTCCGGTGACCCTTCCTCAGAACCCAAAATGTTAACTTTTTTTTCCTTCAAAGATGCTGCCAGACCTGCTGAGTTTCTCCAGCAAATTCTGTTTTTGTTCATGATTTACATCTGCAGTTCTTTCCATTTTTATTTGGGGAGATTTTAAAACTGGTGAATTCAAACCAATTTTAAAATCTCCCAACCTCCAGCCTCATCCCACGTCCAACCCTCTTTCTTATTCCCACCTCCTTAACCTGACACAATCTGTCCATCTTCTCTCCCACTTATCTGCCCCTTCCCATCCCAGTGACCAATCCCCACCCACTCCCTACCTACACACACCTATCACAATCTCACCTACCTTCCCCAACCCCATCCCTCCTTGATTTATTTTTGAGCTCCCTTCCCCCTCCCCATTTCTGAAGAAGGGTCCCGACCCAAAACGTCAACTTTCTTGCTCATCTGATGCTGCCTGGCCTGCCGTGTTTCTCCAGTTCCACACTGTGTTGTTTCTGACTCCAGCATCTGCAGTTCTTGCTATCTCAACCTCAGAGTCTAACCTATCTAGTTTTCCTGGATCAGCATAAACAAGCCTTCCAAATCAGATATTAAATCAAGGTTCCACCTCTGCTAGAAGTGAACCATCCCACAGCACTAGTCAGTAAGTTCACCAGATGAACCAACCAAAATTTGTTCCTCCACCAACATCACCATTATCCCCCAATTTACATAATTTACTGTTTGTGGGATCGTCAGCGACAACTACCTAAATCAATTACTAAAACTGAAATGTCATGAGGTCCTGAAAAGCGCTATTTGAATTCAAATGGTTAAAGAACTTCCCTATTATTTAGATTGGCGTTCAAACGGTCCACTTTTGAAGTATTAAAGCAATTTTACATTCATAAATATGCTATTGCTTCACACTCTTGCCTTCGAGTATGCAGAGTTAAATTGGATAAGAAAGGGGAGAAAAGACAGATTCGCTTGATTATTATCTCAGCTTCATAATATTTGAGACGTACTTCTTTCCAAACATACGTACTTAAGATCATAGCGTCCAAGTGCACCATGAAGAATCTTACATATTGATTCTTTGCTAAAAAGCATTTTTGGACATCTTTCCAAAATGTTTGTCGGAAGCGAGCAGCCGGCTAAGACTCAATTTCACATCTTATCTTGCATATGTCTAAAGATCCAGTCTTTCTAACAAACCTTCCCCAGATTCTGGAAGAAATCAGCCTGTTGAGCTTACAAATGTTTCCTCCGAATTTCAGTAAGCAACATGGACCATCGCTCTCACCGTGCGGTGAGTTTCTCCAGCAATTGCTACTTGAAACGACAGCAATGTCCGTTTTCGATACTATTGCCTCAAGCTTAAATCGGTGATTTGACAGCATTAACTTGCATTTTCGATAAAACATTCAACTTCAGTGAAACAAACAGTGGACTGAGTGTTTCAGAAGGGCAAAAACTCTTGGCCAAGCAAGAGCAGGGAGTTGGAAGAGTTTACCGCTGTCATTTGCATTAGTCTTATAACATCTTTCTTTCCCACCTGCCCATGCCCCGAAGTGCCAGCAAATGTTAATTTCACCAAACGATTTTACACTTCCACGAACTGACACGTCGGTGGATTGGGAAAAGAGACCGTAGAAGGATTACAACCAACAGCCCCTCAACTGCCAACCTTCAACTCACGGCTTCTGATTGGCGGGGATTGGGGGGGGGGGGGGGGGGGGGGGGGGGGGGAGGAGTACATCCTGTTCTGGCAAAGAACCCCTTCCTCCTCTCTTACTTACTTATACACACACACACATATTCCTCATCCCCCCCAGTCACCAATCTCCAGGCAAGAAAGTGGTAGCCGCTCCGTCTACTCACCACGTACGTGGATCCGTTGTCGGCGCTCAGCACCTCAGTCTCCGGGATGGAAAAATGCATCGTATCCACAGAGTAGTGCCCAGGCCGAGATCTCCTGTTTAGAAAGTTCCAGCAAGCAACAGCGTCCGCACAAACACCTCTACCAGCAGCCAACGCCCGCCATCTTGTCCGCGCGAGTAAGCAACCTGGGGGCGGGGCTCTTTCTCCAGCACACCAAGTTCCCAAACTCCATAACGTATCAGCGGCGCGTGTGAGCGACACAACAACAACGTCATCCCCTCCCCCCTTTTTACACAATGGTCCGGCCCAACTGAGTCCGATTTCGCCAAGGTCCGGGCATTATCAAGTCTGAAGGGGGAGAGGGATGGTTACAAAATCCTCACCCTTCAGCGCTTACCGTAAAATGAAACAATCGTTTCCCAGTAGGACCTGTTGAGTCTAAACCTTATCTGGACGCGAGTGATGTGTTGGGTACGGATTTATCCATGATTTCGGTTTTATGATGGTTTGATGCTGACCTCTATTTCCCCCGCAGACACAATGACAGCTCCAGTTGGCCGAAGCTGTGATCTCGGTGAGTGTCCTGAGTTGGCATCAGGCGGTGCTGGCCGCAGCACAGGGCCAAGCTGGCCCTTATATAACAGACATTTGGAACTCAGCGCGTAAGCATCAAAACCGCGCAAACCTCGAAGTAAAGCTTTCACACACAGAGAGGCAGAGAGCCTTTGAAGGAAAAAAATGACTGCAGATGCTGGAATCTGAACTGAACACAAAAACTGCTGGAGATCACAGTGTGTCAGGCATCATCCATGGAGAGAAAGAAAGCTAATGTTTCGAGTCTAGGTGACGCTTCATCAGAGCTGAAGTGAAGTTCAGCTCTAATAAAGAGTCATCTAGACTGGAAAACAAGGTGCAGGGCTGGATGAAGCAGGCCAAGCAGCATCATAGGAGCAGAGAGGCTGACGTTTCGGGCCTAGACCCTTCATCAGAAATGGGGGAGGGGAAGGGGGTTCTGAAATAAATAGGGAGAGAGTGGGAGGCGGATAGAAGATGGATAGAGGAGAGGAAACAAACAGGTCGAAGAGGCGGGGATGGGGCCAGTAAAGGTGAGTGTAGGTGGGGAGTTAGGGAGGGGATAGGTCAGTCCAGGGAGGACGGACAGGTCAAGGGGGCGGGATGAGGTTGGTCGGTAGGAGATGGAGGTGCGGCTTGAGGTGGGAGGAGGGGATAGGTGGGAGGAAGAACAGGTTAGGGAGGCAGGGTGGGCTGGTTTTGGGATGCGGTAGGGGGAGGGGAGATTTTGAAACTTGTGAAATCCACATTGATACCGTTGGGCTGCAGGGTTCCCAAGCGGAATATGAGTTGCTGTTCCTATGATGCTGCTTGGCCTGCTGTGTTCATCCAGCCCTGGACCTTGTTGTCTCGGATTCACCAGCATCTGCAGTTCCTACTATCTAGACTGGAAACGTTGCTTTGCTTTCTCTCAATGGATGCTGCCTGACCCACTGTGACCTCCAGCTCTTTTTGTTTTCATTGAGCTTTTGAATAACTGCACGGCTGAGATAAGAGTTTTTAATTGTGAGGGTGTCAACGTTTATTTTTAGGGGCTTGGAGGTGGGGCGGGCAGTTGAGGCCGAGATCAGATGCTTCCTGATCTTGTATTGAATGGCAGAGCAGGGGCCTGGTGAGAGAATGGATCCTGCTCCTATTTCTTACGTTCAGACACAGAACATGAGCTTTTCCACACCCGTGGAAAGACTTTGCCCCTAGATAACCTCTCCTGTTAGAAAATCTCTCTTTACTACAACACAGATGCTCCTTTCCTCCTCCTGAAATGGCAATGTCACTGGACTACTAATCCAGAAACTCAGGCTAATGTTCTGGACATACGTTCAAATCCATCCCTGGCACATACTGGCATAACACAGTGTAGAGCTGGAGGTGCACAGCAGGCCGGGCAGCATCAGCAGAGCAGGAAAATTGACATTTCAGGTTGGGACCCTTCTTCAGAAGGTGCGCCTCCAGCTCCACACTGTCTTATCTCTGACTCCAGCATCGGCAGTTCTTACTATCTCATGGCACATACTGGAGTTTGTTTTCAATATAATTATCCCCAAATGGCAACTGTATAACCATTGTCAATTATCATAACAACCCATCTGGTTCACTAATGATCTTACGCGAAGGAAATCTGCTATTGTTGCCTAATCAGGCTGATGTAATTCCAGTCCCACAGCAATGTGGTTCATTCTTAACTACCGTCTGGTTGCCTAACCAACAATCCTCCACATCCCAATGAGGAATGTAAACAAAGACACTCAGATACTCTTCCACCATAAACACAATTGTTACAATACATAAAGAGGCCATTTGGCTGTCATGTCAACACCAACTCTCTGAACGTTTTCACTTGGTGACAAAGTCCTGCCTGTTCCACATAACCCTGCACATTATTTATTTTTAAGTAATCATCCAGTGCCCACCTGGATGCCTCGACTGAATGTGCCTCCAACACATTGTGAGGCAGTGCATCTCAAACCCAGATCCGTGATGATTTTTCCATCACCACGTATTCGCTTCTTTTGCAAAACACTTAAAAATTGTGTCCTCCAATTTCTGATCTTTTTAGAAGTGGGAACAGTTTCTTCCTTACTACTGTGTCCACACCCCTCATAATTTTGAAACTTCTGTCAAATCTCCCATCAGTCTTCTCTCCCAGGAAAACAGTTCCAATGTTTCCAATCAATCCTCAAAACTGAAGCTTCTCATCCCTGGAACCATTCTCATAAACGTCTTCTATGCTCTCTGAAATATGTTCACATCCATCCTAATGTAGGACACAGAATTTTACACAATACTCCAGCAGAGGTCTAATCAGTTACAATTTAGGTTCCCTGCTCCCATACACAATTCTCCTATTAATTAAGACTAGAATTCTCAATGCTTAATCAATAACTCTCTCTACCTACCTACCACCTTGAATGACTTACTCACATTTACACCCAGGTCTGCTGCTCTTGGACACCATTTAGAATAGTACCTTTACTTTATACTTTCTCTCTATGTTCTTTGTACCAAAGTATATTGCATCATACTTTTGACACTGAAATTTGTCTGCCACCTATTCATCTAGGCCACCGATCTGTCTCTTTTGAAATTCTATAATGTCCTCACAATAGACAAGCCCACTCTCCAGAGTCGGGGCTGAACTACTCAATGTATTTAAATCTGCCCAATATGAGGCACAGTGGACATGATCTTCATACAAGACAAGTCCAAACCAAGAACACAAAGAGCAGCAGAAACATTCATACATGACTGTCTGCAACCTCACAATAGCCTTTGATTCCACCAAATCACAGATACTATAGAGCATCTTCATAGAATCATAGAATCTCTACCGTGTGGAAAAAGGCCATTCAGCCCATCAAGTCTGAACTGACTGTTCGAAGAGCATCCCACCCAGATCCTAGCTCCCTACCATATCCCAATAACCTCACAATTCCACATTTACCATGGCTAATTCACCTAGCTTGCAAACCTGATACACTATGGACAATTTAGTATGGCCAATCCACCTAACCTGCACATCTTTGGCCCATGGGAGGAAACCAGGACGTGCAAAGAAAACCCATGTAGACACAGGTAGAATGTGCAAACTCCACTCAGACATTCACCAAGACTGGACTTGAACCCAGGTCTCTGGCGCTGTGATTGATTGATTGTTGTTAGGCATAGGCACTAAGAGTTATGGAATTGAGATATTTGGACATTGGTTATGAGACAAAACAAAATATGTAACAATTGATCCTACTGAAATTTTGGTCATCTGAAGAAATTTGTCAGCATTCTCCTGCATGACAAGACACAAAACATGATCCTCATCCTTCCAAACAGAACCATTGCAGACCTAATATGTGTGCAAACTGGAAGACGGTCATTCACAAGGAATGCTCTTCTCCATCTTCCTTGCTTTAACAATCCACCCCATATCCATGACACGTCCCATAAGACCATAAGATATAGGAGCAGAATTAGGACATTCAGCCCATCGAGTCATGGCTGATACATTTCTCAAACTCATTCTCTGCCTTCTACCTATAACCCTTGATCTCCTTGCCAAACAAGAACCTATTTATATGTCTTAAATGCATTCAATGACTTGGCCTCCACAGCCTTCTGAGGAAATGAGTTCCACAGATTCACCACCCTCTAGCTGAAGAAATTCCTCCTTATCTCAGTTCTAAAGAGTCGTCCGTTCCCTCTGAGGCTCTGCCCTCAGGTGCTACTCTCTACTACTTGTGGAAACATTTTCTACATATCCTCTTTATCAAGGGCTCTCAGTATCCTGTAAGTTTCAATGATATTTGCTATCATCCTTCTAAACTGCATCAAGAGTGGCGTAAAACTTCTGCACAGGATGAACGTGAAACTATTCAAACGGCTTTACTTCTAATCCAGAACCAAGACCATCCCAATATCTGTTGTTGAGCTGCAGTACACAGATGTGCCTGCATATGCACATACTCAGTGGCTGAACTCCAATCCAGGCACTCACCAAAGTATACTAGAGGAATAGGTGATAGGTTAAACATCTGAAAGATAAACAAAATCTGGGTTCAAATCTTATCTGCTCCAGAAGTGTGTCATAATATTTCTTAGCAGGTTGATCAGAAAATATTTTCTACCAATCTGCTCCTGTCATGAAGTGCTGTCCTCCAATTATCAACATTTATGGTCAGCTATTGGATGGATCAATTCTCATACCTTGGAAGCACCTTTTCATCAAGGGCAGATATCAACAATGAAATTCAAACTCAAGTGTGCCAACACAATCTTTGGCCACATGAAGTGATGGAAAATCATCCTTGCTTTTGACAGAATGTCTAAAAAAAAGTATTTCATAATGACTAATCATAGAAAGCCACTTAGCCGATTCTGTTGGTGACACAATAATTGGTAGTGTAGTAATCAGTGTCGTGCACCATCTCTGGCATGTATGCCTTTCCTGAGATAAGTAGACCAAAACTACACATAATACTTGAATTGTGGCCTCATCAAGCCTCTATACAATTGCAGTAAGCTATCTGTACTCCAGTACCC